ATAATAAAGGTGGGATACAAATAAATGAATAAAAAACCAAAGGCAAAATCAGCTGTTTGTGCAGTAATTTGTGTGGTCTGTTCTCAAAATTCTCTTGTTTAAGCCACAGGTTCACAATCTTTTTTAGTTCATGTTTTCTTAATGGTTTGGTAATTTTTTTAATATATTGAAATTCTACGTATGACCATAGAAAAAACACAATACATAAATATGCATTATACTATACAAAAACATAAACTTTCAAATACAAAACTAAATACCCAGTTTAGAAAAACATAAAACCCATTTCTGTCATTTGCTTTCCTCATGGATCAATTACAGTAAACATTTCTTATTCTTTTATAACTTTGTAGTAACTATTTAAATTTTCTGTTATATTCGCTTATTTAATCTATAAAATCCTTTATGACTAAGCTATTTCTGCTTCTGTAATAGATGGAATCCAATTTTTTAATAAGAGCCTCTATGATTTATTTCTCCCGAGACTTGTCAAGTTTTGCCACATCTGCCAAACCTAGAACTTTAAACATCCAATCTTCAGCATTTGGAACTTCTTGTATTTTTCTATTTTTGCATGTATAATCTTGCCAACATAATCATATATAATAATGATAATAATAAACCATGGTTTTTTTTTTAACTCAGTTCTTTCCTAAATCTTAGTAAGTACAGTTCTGGTTTCATCTGAACAGGAATTCCCATTATGTTTGCCAATGACCTTTGGATTATCGAACAATTTTGTTTTTTTACCATTTCAAGTCCATCACACAGCGTCGGAGTAATTTTTTCTTGGTCCCCAAAGCTAAAAAATGTGAATTACTCCAAGATAGTATTTCATTATCCTGCAGCACATCTGTGAATTCACTGTGGTGCTCTGAGGTTCCACATATCAAAATTTGGGAATCAAGGATATAAACCTTTATAAAACTGATGGGATTGGATAGATAGTGGGAAAATTGTTGTAAACATGATATTCTGGATATTGTAATAAAAGCACTGATTCCAGAACATAAGGTTGTGTTAAGCATATGTTAACCAACTCCAGAATTAAAGCATTTCTCATTCTATTAAAAAAAACTTACTTACATTCTATAAATTATAAGGATACATAGGTGCAGGAAAATATTTATCAAAATTGATTTGGATATAAGTATTATTTTATGCTGAAACTGATGGTATAGGTCTAAATAAATTTGCAATTCCTATTCCCAAGTATGTGTCTGTAAATCCAACTAGAATTCAGTGGTTCTAATTTCATAGTAAGTATGCAAAAATTATTTTTTAGGATTGCCAGGTAAAAGCTGAATAAATTATGTTGAAATATTCTTTGCTGTTATGATGTGCTTTTAATCAATTAAGATAAAGATAAATTATTGAAGTTACATTTGGGTATTCTGGCTCAGTAATTCATTTGTCAGTTACTGTCAGATATTGTTCAAATGATTAAAAGATGCTTCTATTGCTTTCAGCAAAAAGCATTCTCCCAATGCAGCTTCCAATCATTAAATGGTATCTTAAAATACATCAAATAATGAAAATTAAAGTTCACATAACAGATCAAATCAAATATATAATCCGCAGGGCAGTTAAATACTTTAAAATGTAGCATAAAACAAGCATAATGTAAATCTTTCAATTTATCATTTCAAACAAAATCAAATGCAATAAAATCTTTATAACTTGCATGAAATATTAAGAAGGTACTAACTATATTTTCCTTAAGGAAGTTGCATACTTAAGGAATTCCACCAAACACCTTAAGGAAGTTGCATACTTAAGGAATTCCACCAAACACCAAAATACAGTAGATTTTTTTAACTGCTTATGTGCATCTTACTTTAATACTCATTCTCTATGATATTTTAAAAAAAATATAATAAACCTAATGTCCTNTCAACCTTGAGCCGGTGAGATTTGAACTGCTGAACTGCAGATAACAGTCAGCTGAAGTGGCCTGCAGTACTGCACCCTAACCACTGTGCCACCTCTGCTCCTCGGTTTTCCCTCAAGTTGGAGAAAAGTCACCTTACTCCGTCCACCAGAATCAATCACCTGGGGGCTGTGATAGACACCATGTCACGTCAGGTTTTCCTGTCCCAGGACAGAGTAGAGGCTCTACAGTCCATGACACACAAAGTGCTACGTGCAAGGAAGGTCCCTGTGGTTCTCTTGTCACAGTTGCTAGGGAAAATGATTTCGTGCCTGTCGATTGTCCCCTGGGCCCGTCTCCGCTCCAGGGCACTGCAGTGGCTCCTCTTGCCACATCAGAGAGCCAACAGGAGCAACTCGACCCAGCTGATTCCCGTGCCTCTGACCGTGAAAAGATCCCTCCGATGGTGGACCTTGTCAGCGATCCTCAAGGGGCACCTCTTCAAGGAGCCCGACAGGGTCTTCGTCACCACAGATGCCAGTCTCTCCGGCTGGGGAGCGCACCTGGGTCACCTCGTGGTCCAGGGCAAGTGGTCCGTGTCAGAGTCTCGTCACAGCATCAATCTTCTGGAACTGAGGGCGGCGAGGTTGGCTCTTCATCATTTTCATCTGTCTGTTCGCCACCGTCACGTCCTCCTGATGATGGACAATGTGGCTACCAAGGCGCACATCATCCGCCAAGGTGGTACCAGATCCAAACAACTGATGGCGCAGGCGGAGGCCCTGGGTCGCTGGGTGGAACATCACCGAAAGTCCATACTCTCTGACCATATCTCAGGAGTGGACAACACTCAAGCGGACTGGCTCAGCAGGACCACCATAGACCCTGCTGAGTGGCATCTCGATCTTGCACCCCCCCCCCCGCAGGGTTCAGGCCACCGCTGATGGACCTCTTCACCACCAGGGAGAACGCTCAGCTCAGGAGATTCTCCTCCAGCTTCCCATCTCCAGGGGCAGAGGGAACAGACGCTCTGCGGTGCTGCTGGCCCCGGGGACTCCTTTACGCCTTCTCCCTCTCCTACCACAAGTCCTTTCCAAGATCATAGTGGAGGGGGCGGAGGTGATCCTCGTGGCTCCCTACTGGCCCCAGAGATCGTGGTTCGCTGACCTGGTCAGCCTGTTGGTGTCCCCCCTGTGGTGGATCCCTCCAGATCTGGTCTCTCTCAGCCAGGGGGCTGTTGTCCATCCGGAACCCCAATGGCTCCAGTTGGCCGCCTGGCACTTGAGGGGGACCTGCTAAGGAACGGAGGCTGGTTGGAGGAGGTGGTACGCACCATTCTAGCTGCTCGATGTCCCTCCACAACGAGAATCTACGATGCAACCTTGGCATCCTTCTCCAGATGGTGTGAGAACCTTCTCATTGATCCGGTCACGGCGCTGGTGGGCCGCGTGTTGGGCTTCTTGCAGGGGGGTCTTGAGAAAGGCCTGTCCCCGAACACGCTGCGGCGCCGGTAGCAGCCTGGTCCACTGTCTGGTCCGGGGATCCTTCCTTGTCACTTAGCAGGATCCCCAGGGTACGTTGTTTCCTGAGGGGCGCCTCCAACCTTCGTCCTCCCACAGTGCATCGATATCCTACTTGGCAACTGTCTGTGGTGCTGCAAGCTCTCACTTCCCCGCCTTTCAAGCTGCTACGCTCGATCTCCCTCTGACATCTTACACTGATGACGGCGTTCCTGATAGCCATCACGTCTGTCCGCTGTATTTCCAAATTGGCGGCCCTGTCAGTCCGCCAGGACCTGTGGATTGTTCATCCTGACAGGGTTGTTTTGTGCCTTGACCCTTCCTTCATTCCGAAGATCAACACCTGGCTCCACAGGGCGCAAGAAGTCATCTTGCCGAACTTTTGCCCATGCCCTTCTCACGCACAGGAGCATTCCTGGCATAAGCTGGATGTGCGACGCGCCCTGAAAATCTACCTGCATCGGACCTCGGACTTCCGTAAGTCCAAGGCCTTGTTTGTATCCTTCCAGGCCGGCTCCTTAGGCAAGAAGGTCACCTTCTCCACCGTTGGCAGATGGTTGAGGGCGTGCATCGCCTTTGCCTACGAGAGTCAGTCTAGGGCACTTCCGCGTCACATCACCGCACACTCTACGAGAAGCGCGGCCACCACTGCAGCCTGGACCACCCAGGCTTCTGCTGTAGAGATTGTAGGGCGGCCACGTGGTTGTCGCCGTCGCCCTTCGTCAGACACTACAGACTGGACAGTTTTGCCTTGGCTGAGGTGTCCTTCGACAGGGGGGTACTCCAAGCAGTTGTTCCTGTGATCGAATCCGGGAACGTTGCTTCTACCCGCCCAGATGGACAGTAACTTGGGTATGTCCCATTGCTTGGAATCTCCAAGCAGTGCACAGGAGAAAGACCATTGGCTTACCTGAAGGGTCCTTCTCTATGCACCACGGGAGAATCCAATCCACCCAGGTCCGTCCTGGGATGTGTGCTCTCCGTGTCAACTAAATTGGTCATGGGACTCATCTTGAACTTCCTCTCGGTCCAGACTTTTCTATTTTTTCTGGAGAATGGAGCCACACCAGGAGGAGTGGCCAGGGAAAAAACTTTCCAAGTTCAGGGCAAGCAGACTGAAATAACCCATTGCTTGGACTCTCCCACGGTGCACAAAGAAGGATCCTTCAGGTAAGCCAATGGTCTTTCTATACATGTCTACTTGGAAATGAGTCCCAGTTAACATTTTTCTTAGTAAGGATGATGATCCAGGTGGAAGAATGAAATATGTTACTTAAACAGTATTTGAGGAAATGCATATAAACAGCTTCTAATTTTATTTGTAGGTATTAAAAAACTGGTGCATCTGATAACACGTATTTGATAGTAATCTTTTAAAATGTGACATATACAGTACATGTATATGCATGGTTAGCTACTTTCTGCATTTTATTACCAACTTTCATTACCTATATGCTAGTACTTTGCAGCATATTTTTTGCATTTTTCCAAAATGATTCAGCTTTTGATACCGTAGTTTATCTAGAGGCCTATATTAATTGATTGGAATTACCAAAAAAGTCATATGTTTAAAAATGTTCTAATTAAAAAAAATTATTGTATTTTTGTAGGGCAACCGGTGATAATGACGACTGAAGGTGGTTCAGATAGTGAAGTAAAAGAATCAGAGAATCTGAGGACTAACACAGGAAGTGAAAATGCTGGGGATGCACCAGAAAGTCAAGAAGATCAACAACAAATAGAAGAAGGTTCTCCTGTCCTTCCAACTGTAGCTACCCAAAAGAGCCCTAAAAGCTCAGGTGGAAAGGGCATTTCTCGTTTTATCCCCCCCTGGCTTAAGAAACAAAAATCATACAGCATATCAGAACCCAAAGATGAAACTAAGAAAAGAGAGCATCTAGCATCCGAAGAAGAGACAGCAGTGGATGAAGGAGAATGTCATCTCTCAGAAGAAGAAGCTCAATCTAAAGGAAAATTAGAGGACATTTCTGAGAATCTTCAAGAAGCTGAAGTGGATGGTGATAAAGAAGAAAAACATGTTGAGTCACAGGTACATCCTAGAAAGAAAAACAAAACAAACTATAAGAATCACACTTTAGTGGCCTCAACGTTGTTGTGACTATCGTTATGTTACATTTTCTTTTGTTAATATTAATTAATACCATTCATTCTGAGGTGTATTTTGTTTTGGAGTGAATCACACTGTTCATTTCTGCCTAACCAAATATTATAATTTTATTATTTCAGATTCAGCAAAATCTAGCTGTTGTACTATTTTAAAAAGCCTTGAAATTTATCTAATCCTTATAAACTAGAATACAGTTTTTTTTCTTGTTTGCTGATGGTTAAATAAGAAACTTAGGGGTTATAATGGCTCAGCACTTAAAGACACTGAGCTTGTCAGCTGACAGCCCCGGGTTGAGACCCATGTTGCATGCACCTTCGGCATATAGTTATGCTGGCTACATGACCCTGGAAATGTCTTCAGACAATGCTGGCTCCCTTGGCTAGGAAATNTTTCTCAGTCCAGGGCAAGCAGACTGAAATAACCCATTGCTTGGACTCTCCCGCGGTGCACAGAGAAGGACCCTTCAGGTAAGCCAATGGTCTTTTTCTTTTTTTTTCTTCTTATTAGATTGTGCTAGTTTGTATGTTCTTTGTATGTTCCTTAAACTGAAAAAAATGTTGCAGGACTGTACTTGAGCTGAAACTTTTTAGCTTTAGCAGATTGAGACGTTTGTATGGAATGGATTCATTTTCTTTTATCCTTCTGTTTAATTCAGTATCACATTTACAAACAGTGCACAAATAAGCAATTTGATTAAGTTACAATAAGAGTTTCTAATAAACTTTAGAATGTGTTTTCAGGCAAGAAATAATATCTACATGGAGAAGTAAAGACTCTTGCAAATCAAGGTTATCTCTTAGAGACAAATATACTTGTGTTTCTTGAAAACTATTTGTTGGCCACTGTTTTCTTCTCATCAAAATGCTTTTTTTCAGTTTCAGTGTGGTCTGAAGCTGTGGAATTTATGATTTCCCATAGAAATACTAACCAGCTACAGATATTACTTTGCTTACAAACTTTTGAGTTGCGAACTTTCACTAAACATGAACAAGCCTCTGCAATTTTGACTAGAAGGTCCCAGAAGTTGTGAGAAGCTAGGAATGTGTTAATTTCTGGCATACCACATATTTGTAGTGTGCTGGAAACTAACCTTTCCCCACCTTCTTCCAACTTCCTTTCTCATCTTCTTCTGACTTCTTACAGAAAGACTTTGATGAGCTGTTAATTGCACATACAGAGGATATCTCCAACGAAGATCTTATGGAGTTGAAAAGTCAGAGAAAAATAAAGAGATTGAACTATCAAAGCAGATCCACATGAAGCTGAGAACTCCAGAGGAATTCAGCATGACTGAAAAAATGCTATCCTGTTCAAAATGCAGGACATTCATGATGAATAGTTCACCAAGGTCTCTGCAGCTGTCCATGGTACAATTCACTACCACAGCAACATTTACCAGGAAAAGAGGAAGGCCGCCACCCAAAGTTTACAGGATTATTTCTTCAGGAAGGTGGAGAAATCTAACATTTTAATACTGGAGGATGAGCCTATTCCACTGCTATCAGGTTTTACTGTGATGCTAATGTAAATAATAACTGTATTGTGCATATTTTATACTTCTTGTACTTGTGAACAGAATTAACTTATGAACAGCCTTTTGGAATGTAACCGGTTCATGAATAGAGCGCTGTCTTAGCTTTTCTCCAGCTCAACCAAGGTTGTCTAAGTGCTTTCATCTTCTAACTATGTTGGCATTCCACTGAGTGATGTAATCAAACAAAAAATGTTAGCAGAACCACAGTCTAAAACAAGCAAGAAACTCAAAAATGTCAATGTAAGCAATAAGTCAGTTCCATTAATAAATATTGGCAAAAGGAAGTTTTAAGAATTGTATTTATATTATTTATATAAATGGTATATTCTATGCAAAGTGTATATTATATTTAATAAAATGGTAAATAATTATAATAAGATGAACTATTCTTTTGATGTTTACTTTGGCAAATCACAAGCTTTTCGTTTAACAACTCAACAAAGTTATGAAACAAACTAGTATAATCTGTTTTGGGTCATCTTCACCTTCCATGGGTTGAGAGGATAAATACAATATAATTAATTATTTTAGATTTGCTATCTTTAGAGTGGCAACAACTGAAATCAATAAACAATTTTATTGTCATGATCATCAGTCACGCAGGATCAGACTAATTAAGCACAGGAGAGAAAACAGCCTTTGACAGAAGTTTTGATATACGTGAAAAAATACAGTTTCATGCCATGTTTCCTGTGTTAATAGCCAAGGCTATCTTCTACTTGACAAATATCTTAGAAATAAATCCCACTGGTTTTAATAGGACTTAAAGCTATACAAATGATTACAGATTAAATATTGTGATTAAAAAGGTCGTCTCAGCCAGAAGGAATATGTTAATATTATGGCTTGGCCTCTAACCAAAATAATTAAGCATGCACTCTCTCTCATCCCATTTAATTTCAACCTTTGGAAGACAGCATTAAATTCGGCAGGCCACATAGCTGTTGTAAAATTATTAAGAACCAAAAATGAGTTTAGTGGGTTTTAGAATGACAATAGCTAGTGACATTTCAAGCACCAGAATGCTGAAATAATTGCCTTTGCTGGTGCTCCCAAGATGCATTACCATGTAAGTTGTGATAGTGATATTTTATAATTAATATTCCAAAAATTGTAGTTAGGATGAGTATAAACTGTCTGTTTCATCATTTATGCAAGTAAAACCTAGCATAAGGATGAGCAACTGTTAACTGGTGTGGGAATGCATGTGAACAAGAAAAGAAGTGCCAAATATACCATCATACTTCATGACAACGTAATCAGGAATTTTATATCTCCTTTATTTCTTCCATCCAGAAATGAATTTTAAAGGAGATTTACTCTGACCCTTGATAGCAATTTATTTCTATTTAATCTAAACATTAAAAATTTTATTGATTGAATTTTTATAAAATTAAGTTTGGTTGATTAACCCAATTTAATGGTAAATGTCACAGCTCCTTCCCCCTCTTCACTTGCATTTCTGAAATGATGGGTTGTGCCATTTTTAAAACATTGTAATTGCAAAGGTTTACTTTCTCTGAAGACAAATTCATACCAATCAAGAAATGTTAACATTTTGTAAGATCTACAGTATATTATTTATTATTCTCTCTGTGTTTGCCTGTCTTCATGTTTACTGAATAGAATATGATTACAGATTCTGAAATGGGAAAGAAAATATATATAAAAAAATCCTCAGTATAAAACTTATCAGTTGTGTTTCATCTAATTAGCATCTCAAAATAGAGTGAATTAAAAAAAACCTGCTCTGAAGATAATGTTGTTGTTATTTGTCATTCTTTTCTTTATCATACTCCAAAAAGCTTCTAAGAATAAAAGTATTAATTCTTGATATACAGATAACTCATAAATACATCCTTCCCTATCTGGTAAATAAGAGTAAAACAAACTCTCCAAAACAACAATTTCTGGAGTTGTGTAGATGTTGATGAACATTGGGGTCAGCCAGAAATTCCTGGTGTGTCACCATCACTGACTTAAGCTAAATTCCAACACCAGTGCTATTGTAAGCAACTGTAGCAACTCCCCCTCTTAACAGGTTGATTGTTTGTGATCATCTGAAATAAGCCAAGGAAAATTAAAAAAACAAAACTCCAACTTTGTAAATAAAATTAATGCTTTTAAGAGTTTGTTTGTTACCCCATCTACTCAATATATATGTTTGAGCATGTGATGAATAGAGGGGCAATGATTAACTATGGATACTCTATTTTAATATATTATCCTAAGTGATTTGATATACGGTAATCAAACTTAGATTCAGCCCATATGGTAATGGTAGCAAAAAGTCTTGATTCTTCATGACATTGCACCCACTGCAAGTGAACCAAAAATGTGAGCTTTCATGTAGAGATTTTCTATATTCTGGCTCCTAAAGTGAAGAGGTTGACTGGGTAGCTCAGTGTGACTCATTTGCAAGGAATATTGTGGATTATATCATAACTTTTGTGCCTACAATTAAAGAAGTACAATATCAAAAGGTATAATTTTGGCATAGACTTTTCTAGTTAAACAGGATGAATTTCAAATTATACAGCCTGAAGGAGTAACAGGTTTTGTGAAGTTCCCAGAAGATGACCTAATTAATTTATGAGCCTCCAGACAAAGTTAAAAAAAATCCAATCATTTATTAGGATCGACATTCTGGCATGGACTCCNAGCGGGCACCTTGAATAAACATAACTTTGAGTTTCAAATAACACTGATTTCGTTGTTGTCTTAGGTGACATCTGTGAAAAAAATTCAGGTGCTCAGGCATGAAAATGTGCTGCTTAAACACTATTCTTTTCCGCTCACACTGAAAAAAAATTAGAGGGAACATTGGTGGAGGGCCATCTTGGACCTCAAGAACCTCAACCGGCACATTGCCTATCAGAGGTTCAAGATGCAGTCCCTCCAGTCCATCCTGGCGGGGATCCACCAGGGAGACCTCCTAACTTCTATCGATTTAAAGGAGGCATATCTTCATATTCCCATCTGCCCCCAGCACAGGAGGTTCCTGCACTTTTTCTATGCCGGCCGACATTTTCAATACAGAGGCCTTCCATACAGCCTGTCGTCGGCACCCAGGACTTTCACGAAGGTCCTGGCGGTGGTAGCGGTGCACTTCAGGCACAAGCCCATATGATTGCAATGCTACCTGGATGACATCATCATCCAGTCATCATCCAGGCAGCAAGCTGTGTGGGACCTCCACATCACCATGCAGACCCTCAGAAATCATAGGTTTTCCCTCAACTTGGAGAAAAGTCAACTTACTCCTTCCACCAGAATCACTCACCTGGGGGCGGTGATAGACACCATGTCATGTCAGGTTTTCCTGTCCCAGGACAGAGTAGAGGCTCTATGGTCCATGACACACAAAGTGCTACGTGCAAGGCAGGTC